GTATAGGGTCACCCCAAAAGCCCCCTGAGCACGGGATGGGGATACAGGGACCCCTCCCCACTCACCCCCCTAGGCCGGGCCGGGGTCCCAGGGACACCCCAAACCCCCCCGGGCTGGGCCGGTGTCCCAGGGACACCCCAAACCCCCCCAGGCTGGGGTCCCAGGGACACCCCAAACCCCCCCGGGCTGGGCCGGGGTCCCAGGGACACCCCAAACCCCCCGAGGCCGGGCCGGGGTCGCAGGGACCCCTCCCCACTCACCCCCCCTGGCCCGGGCCGTGAAGCGGTGTTTGTAGAGCTGCGCCCGCAGGAAGGTCGGGGGGCGCGCGTGGAACGGGTACCGGGACTCGTCTGTCTGCAGCAGCCGGATCACTGCGGGATGGGGGACATGGGCACCCCAATACAGCTGGGGACCCCAAATCCGGGCTGGGCACCCCAAACACAGCCGGATCACTGCGGGATGGGGGACATGGGCACCCCAATACAGCTGGGGACCCCAAATCCGGCTGGGGACCCCAAATCCGGGCCTGGGCACCCCAAACACAGCCGGATCACTGCGGGATGGGGGACATGGGCACCCCAAATCCGGCTGGGGACCCCAAATCCGGGCTGGGGACCCCAAACACAGCCGGATCACTGCGGGATGGGGGACATGGGCACCCCAAATCCGGCTGGGGACCCCAAATCCGGGCTGGGGACCCCAAACACAGCCGGATCACTGCGGGATGGGGGACATGGGCACCCCAAATCCGCCTGGGGACCCCAAATCCGGGCTGGGGACCCCAAACACAGCCGGATCACTGCGGGATGGGGGACATGGGCACCCCAAATCCGCCTGGGGACCCCAAATCCACCTGGGCACCCCAAATCCGCCTGGGCACCCCAAACACAGCCGGATCACTGCGGGATGGGGGACATGGGCACCCCAAATCCGGGCTGGGGACCCCAAATCCGCCTGGGGACCCCAAATCCGGCTGGGGACCCCAAACACAGCCGGATCACTGCGGGATGGGGGACATGGGCACCCCAATACAGCTGGGGACCCCAAATCCGGGCTGGGCACCCCAAACACAGCCGGATCACTGCGGGATGGGGGACATGGGCACCCCAAATCCGCCTGGGGACCCCAAATCCACCTGGGCACCCCAAATCCGCCTGGGCACCCCAAACACAGCCGGATCACTGCGGGATGGGGGACATGGGCACCCCAAATCCGGGCTGGGGACCCCAAATCCGCCTGGGGACCCCAAATCCGGCTGGGGCACCCCAAATCCGGCTGGGCACCCCAAACACAGCCGGATCACTGCGGGATGGGGGACATGGGCACCCCAACCCCAATACAGCTGGGGACCCCAAATCCGGGCTGGGGACCCCAAATCCGGGCTGGGGACCCCAAATCCGCCTGGGGACCCCAAATCCGGGCTGGGGACCCCAAATCCAAACAGAGACACCCCAAATCCGCCTGGGGACCCCAAACACAGCCGGATCACTGCGGGATGGGGGACATGGGCACCCCAAATCTGCCTGGGGACCCCAAATCCGGCCTGGGGACCCCAAATCCAAACAGGGACACCCCAAACCCACGGTGGCACCGATGCTGAGGAGACCCCACCATGCTCTGGGTCCCCAGAGCCCCCAGCCCCAGAGCCCCCCCAGCCCCACCCCAGAGCCCCCAGCCCTAAATCCCCACATTCCCACCCCTGAGCC